TGATGTTTTGGTCCTGGGGACAATCAATAGATCAATAGAATTGTTACTGGAGACTATAGAGCACTAGAATGATGTGTTTGGTACTGGGGACAATCAATAGATCAATAATTGTTACTGGAGACTATAGAGCACTAGAATGATGTTTTGGTACTGGGGACAATCAATAGATCAATAATTGTTACTGGAGACTAGACTAGAGCACTAGAATGATGTGTTTGGTCCTGGGGACAATCAATAGATCAATATAATTGTTACTGGAGACTATAGACTAGAGCACTAGAATGATGTTTTGGTACTGGGGACAATCAATAGATCAATAGAATTGTTACTGGAGACTATAGAGCACTAGAATGATGTGTTTGGTACTGGGGACAATCAATAGAAAAAATATAATTGTTACTGGAGACTATAGACTAGAGCACTAGAATGATGTTTTGGTACTGGGGACAATCAATAGATCAATAATTGTTACTGGAGACTATAGACTAGAGCACTAGAATGATGTGTTTGGTACTGGGGACAATCAATAGATCAATAGAATTGTTACTGGAGACTATAGACTAGAGCACTAGAATGATGTTTTTGGTCCTGGGGACAATCAATAGATCAATATAATTGTTACTGGAGACTATAGAGCACTAGAATGATGTTTTTGGTACTGGGACAATCAATAGATCAATATAATTGTTACTGGAGACTATAGAGCACTAGAATGATGTGTTTGGTACTGGGGACAATCAATAGATCAATAGAATTGTTACTGGAGACTATAGACTAGAGCACTAGAATGATGTTTTGGTCCTTGGGACAATCAATAGATCAAAATAATTGTTACTGGAGACTATAGACTAGAGCACTAGAATGATGTTTTTTGGTACTGGGGCAATCAATAGATCAATATAATTGTTACTGGAGACTATAGACTAGAGCACTAGAATGATGTGTTTGGTACTGGGACAATCAATAGATCAATATAATTGTTACTGGAGACTATAGACTAGAGCACTAGAATGATGTTTTGGTCCTGGGGACAATCAATAGATCAATATAATTGTTACTGCAGACTATAGGGCACTAGAATGATGTTTTTGGTACTGGGGACAATCAATAGATCAATAGAATTGTTACTGGAGACTATAGACTAGAGCACTAGAATGATGTTTTTGGTACTGGGGACAATCAATAGATCAATATAATTGTTACTGGAGACTATAGACTAGAGCACTAGAATGATGTTTTGGTCCAGGGGACAATCAATAGATCAATAATTGTTACTGGAGACTATAGAGCACTAGAATGATGTTTTTTTGGTCCTGGGGACAATCAATAGATCAATAAAATTGTTACTGGAGACTATAGACTAGAGCACTAGAATGATGTTTTTGGTACTGGGGCAATCAGTAGATCAATATGATTGTGACTGGAGACTATAGAGCACTAGCATGATGTGTTTGGTACTGGGGACAATCAATAGATCAATATAATTGTTACTGGAGACTAAAGACTAGAGCACTAGAATGATGTTTTTTGGTACTGGGGCAATCAATAGATCAATATAATTGTTACTGGAGACTATAGAGCACTAGAATGATGTGTTTGGTACTGGGGACAATCAATAGATCAATAGAATTGTTACTGGAGACTATAGACTAGAGCACTAGAATGATGTGTTTAGTACTGGGACAATCAATAGATCAATATGATTGTTACTGGAGACTATAGACTAGAGCACTAGAATGATGTGTTTTGGTACTGGGACAATCAATAGATCAATATGATTGTTACTGGAGACTATAGACTAGAGCACTGGAATGATGTGTTTGGTACTGGGACAATCAATAGATCAATATGATTGTTACTGGAGACTATAGACTAGAGCACTAGAATGATGTGTTTGGTACTGGGACAATCAATAGATCAATATGATTGTTACTGGAGACTATAGACTAGAGCACTAGAATGATGTGTTTGGTACTGGGACAATCAATAGATCAATATAATTGTTACTGGAGACTATAGACTAGAGCACTAGAATGATGTTGTTGGTCCTGGGGACAATCAATAGATCAATATAATTGTTACTGGAGACTATAGAGCACTAGAATGATGTTGTTGGTACTGGGGACAATCAATAGATCAATATAATTGTTACTGGAGACTATAGACTAGAGCACTAGAATGATGTTTTTGGTCCTGGGGACAATCAATAGATCAATATAATTGTTACTGGAGACTATAGACTAGAGCACTAGAATGATGTTTTTGGTACTGGGGCAATCAATAGATCAATAGAATTGTTACTGGAGACTATAGAGAATTAGAATGATGTGTTTGGTACTGGGACAATCAATAGATCAATATAATTGTTACTGGAGACTATAGACTAGAGCACTAGAATGATGTTTTTGGTCCTGGGGACAATCAATAGATCAATATAATTGTTACTGGAGACTATAGAGCACTAGAATGATGTTTTTGGTCCTGGGGACAATCAATAGATCAATATAATTGTTACTGGAGACTATAGAGCACTAGAATGATGTTTTTGGTACTGGGGACAATCAATAGATCAATAATTGTTACTGGAGACTATAGAGCACTAGAATGATGTTTTGGTACTGGGGACAATCAATAGATCAATAATTGTTACTGGAGACTAGACTAGAGCACTAGAATGATGTGTTTGGTCCTGGGGACAATCAATAGATCAATATAATTGTTACTGGAGACTATAGACTAGAGCACTAGAATGATGTTTTTTGGTACTGGGGACAATCAATAGATCAATAGAATTGTTACTGGAGACTATAGAGCACTAGAATGATGTGTTTGGTACTGGGGACAATCAATAGAAAAAAAATATAATTGTTACTGGAGACTATAGACTAGAGCACTAGAATGATGTTTTTGGTACTGGGGACAATCAATAGATCAATAATTGTTACTGGAGACTATAGACTAGAGCACTAGAATGATGTTTTTTGGTCCTGGGGACAATCAATAGATCAATAGAATTGTTACTGGAGACTATAGAGCACTAGAATGATGTGTTTGGTACTGGGACAATCAATAGATCAATATAATTGTTACTGGAGACTATAGAGCACTAGAGCACTAGAATGATGTGTTTGGTACTGGGGACAATCAATAGATCAATATAATTGTTACTGGAGACTATAGACTAGAGCACTAGAATGATGTTTTTTGGTCCTTGGGACAATCAATAGATCAAAATAATTGTTACTGGAGACTATAGACTAGAGCACTAGAATGATGTTTTTGGTACTGGGACAATCAATAGATCAATATAATTGTTACTGAGACTATAGACTAGAGCACTAGAATGATGTGTTTGGTACTGGGACAATCAATAGATCAATATAATTGTTACTGGAGACTATAGACTAGAGCACTAGAATGATGTTTTGGTCCTGGGGACAATCAATAGATCAATATAATTGTTACTGCAGACTATAGAGCACTAGAATGATGTTTTTGGTACTGGGGACAATCAATAGATCAATAGAATTGTTACTGGAGACTATAGACTAGAGCACTAGAATGATGTTTTTTGGTCCTGGGGACAATCAATAGATCAATATAATTGTTACTGGAGACTATAGACTAGAGCACTAGAATGATGTTTTTGGTCCTGGGGACAATCAATAGATCAATATAATTGTTACTGGAGACTATAGACTAGAGCACTAGAATGATGTTTTTGGTCCTGGGGACAATCAATAGATCAATAAAAGAATTGTTACTGGAGACTATAGATAGAGCACTAGAATGATGTTTTTGGTACTGGGGCAATCAATAGATCAATATAATTGTTACTGGAGACTATAGAGCACTAGAATGATGTTTTGGTCCTGGGGGATCAATATAATTGTTACTGGAGACTAAAGATCAAGCATAATTGTACTGGGGCAACTGGAGACTAATAGACTATAGAGCACTAGAATGATGTTTTTGGTACTGGGACAATCAATAGATCAATATAATTGTTACTGGAGACTATAGACTAGAGCACTAGAATGATGTTTTGGTACTGGGGACAATCAATAGATCAATATAATTGTTACTGGAGACTATAGACTAGAGCACTAGAATGATGCATCAATAGATCAATAATTGTTACTGGAGACTATAGAGCACTAGAATGATGTTTTGGTACTGGGGACAATCAATAGATCAATGTAATTGTTACTGGAGACTATAGACTAGAGCACTAGAATGGTGTGTTTGGTACTGGGACAATCAATAGATCAATATAATTGTTACTGGAGACTATAGACTAGAGCACTAGAATGATGTGTTTGGTCCTGGGGACAATCAATAGATCAATATAATTGTTACTGGAGACTATAGACTAGAGCACTAGAATGATGTGTTTAGTACTGGGACAATCAATAGATCAATATGATTGTTACTGGAGACTATAGACTAGAGCACTAGAATGATGTTTTTGGTACTGGGGACAATCAATAGATCAATAATTGTTACTGGAGACTATTAGAGCACTAGAATGATGTTTTTGGTCCTGGGGACAATCAATAGATCAATATAATTGTTACTGGAGACTATAGACTAGAGCACTAGAATGGTGTGTTTGGTACTGGGACAATCAATAGATCAATATAATTGTTACTGGAGACTATAGACTAGAGCACTAGCATGATGTTTTTGGTACTTGGGACAATCAATAGATCAAAATAATTGTTACTGGAGACTAGACAGCCCTATAATTGTTACTTGAGACTATGACTAGTTTGAGCACTTTTGTTACTTGAGCCAGTCTGCAATTAATCATTAATCACATCGTGAAATAACACCTATACTCCTTACAAGGACAGCCTTTAACTATTGTAACAAATTGGTCATTTCTTATCCATTTGTTATCATATGCATGCTGAAATGTGATGCAAAACATGTATTGGAGTTCATTTTTTCATTTTTAATCAGTATATTTCTTTAACAAAGTAGTTGGCTATTTTCAGACATTTGCTACAATAGGACCTCCCAGTGTTAATTATGGCTCGCCCAAAAGACGACGATCCGGACATGTTCAGGATTATTGTGGCTACAGACGTCCATCTTGGCTACATGGAAAAAGACCCAGCCCGGGGAAATGATTCTCTTGTGTCTTTTGAAGAAATTCTGGAGATTGCATCAAAGAATAATGCTGATTTTGTTCTGTTGGGTGGGGATCTGTTCCATGAGAACAAGCCATCCAGAAGAACCTTACACGGCTGTATGGCTTTGTTGCGGAAATATTGCATGGGAGATAAACCGATCCAGTACGAATTCCTCAGCGACCAGTCAGTGAACTTTGACCACTGTCAGTTCCCCACGTTAAACTACGACGATCCTAACTTGAACATCGCCATGCCAGTGCTCTCCATACACGGTAACCATGACGATCCAACAGGACAGGGAAACTTATGTTCATTAGATATTTTACACACTGCTGGACTTGTTAATTATTTTGGGAAAACATCTAATCTTGAGAAGATTCAACTAAGCCCATTGTTGTTTCAAAAGGGAACTACAAAAGTATGTTTGTACGGACTTGGTTCAGTGCGAGATGAACGCTTACATCGAATGTTTGTACATAAGAATGTGACAATGCTGCGTCCCAAGGAAAACCAAGAAGATTGGTTTAATATGTTTGTTGTCCATCAGAATAGATCAAAGCACTCAGCAACAAATTACATCCCTGAGCAGTTCTTAGATGATTTCTTAGATTTGATAATCTGGGGTCATGAACATGAGTGTAGAATCGACCCTGAGTGGAATGGCATTCAGAACTTTTATGTTAGTCAGCCAGGGAGCAGTGTTGCGACGTCTCTGAGTGAAGGAGAAACTGTGAAGAAACATATTGGATTGCTGCAGATTAAGGGAAAGGACTTTATGATGAAAAAGATTCCCCTTGAAACTGTGCGTCCATTTTATATGGAGGATATTGTTCTAGGGGAGACCAGTCTTAATCCTGACGACCACAATGTGTTAAAACAAGTGGAAACATTCTGTGCAGAAAAGGTTGAGATATTGTTGGACAAAGCAGGTAATTTTCTTATTATTTTTTATCTACACATTGGGCACATATATTTGAATAATGGTTGATGACAAGGACAGATAACTCTAAAGAAACATTCATTACCACAGTCGAGTGTATTTCTATTATATTAAGGTAACCTCTGTTTCCAGTCTGTGAACCTTCTTATCATATATATAATGTATATATAGTGTTGCAAATTTCAAATAATCCTGGAACATAAAACTGATAGTGTTTGATGGTGGCCATGTTTTGATTGTCCATGTTGTATTTCAGCTATGGAGCACACAGGCAACCGGAAACAGCCGACCAAAGCCCTCATACGTCTCAGGATAGATTACACTGGCTTTGAACCATTTAGCATTCACAGGTACACCATTTTACTATTGTGTTTCTAAGATGTGAGTGAGTTTAGTTTTCTGCTGCACTCAGCAACATTCCAGCCATATGGCAGCTGTCTGTAAATACTGAGTCTGGACCAGAAAATCCAGTGATCAACAGCATGAGCATCGATCTACATGTGTCAACCAAGCCAATCCCGTCTGTCGCCTCTTCCGATAAGCATGGTTTCCTGAAGATAAATTCTAACCTGGATCTTCACAGGTATAGTAAGACGTGAACATCAGCTGGAGGTTAGGTGCACCAAAGTCAGCTCTCGTTTTCCGAATCGGTGAAAATACAGAAAGCAATTTTTGAACATGATGTAGGCCTATTAATGACCTGTCGAGGACACTAATCTTGGATGTAAGAATTGTCTCACATGATCGAGTGGTCAGGCTTGCTTAAATGGTCGTATGTGTCCCAATTGGGGTTGCTGGTTACTTGTGTAATGTTAAAGATTTCAACATTTTCTTGGATGCTGAACGCTTTGTGGTCATCATGTAGCGGGGCGTGGAGTCATCCCACAAATGACATCCTTACCTTGTCAGCTTGCTGATGGGGTTAACCTCTTTGGTCATGTGGACAAAGCGTCCGACTTCGGAGAAGAAGGTCCGTGGTTCGAATCCCAGCACAGGACTGGGAAATTTTATGGCCGCTACAATCATAGCACTAGAGTTTTCAGTTTTCTGTTTGTTCCTTCAAATCCTTGTTTTTGCTTTAAGGTTTGGTCAGAAGTTTGTGGACCGGGTGGCAAATCCCAAGGATCTAGTGTTGTTTCACCGCAAAAAAGCTGGTGTCAAGAAGGAGGAGAGTGGTGCAGGTGGGTGTTGATGGAATTGGTGTAGCTTAGAAGAACTGACCCCCACTTACAAATAGCTTCAGTCCTCAGACATTACTTAGCACTGGAGTCTGTAGTGGGCAGATGTCTGTTAGGGACAGTTTGTAAGACCACAGATGCCCAGGAAAACTGCCCTAAAGATTGGTTGGTTGCTGCTTATGTCAGCTGTTTGTTTGCCAGGGTCAGAGTCAATTTCTTTGCAAATACCTCGTGATATAGGTGGACTGTTACTGTCTGTCTGGAATAACATGCCAGGTATTACTACTCGGTACTCTGATGTATTGCGATGTTCAGCCAGGTAGATGTTTGTATACATTTGTTGTAACCAGTTGCTATAGTAATGATTAAATTATCTGATTCTAGTTCCTTTCAGTGAAGTCCTCAAACAAGTTAAAATGTCTGAATTTCTACTGTAAATATCCATTGTAATCTGTCCTGCAGACAATGAGTTGTTGGCAATGATCCGACCCCAGTCCCTAGACAGTGCCCGCGTGGAGGACATGGTGCGAGACTACTTCGTCCAGGTTGAAGAGGTCAGTGATAAGCAAGCTCCAATCTAGAAAATGTAGGAGTGTGCTCTGTATATCACTGATGTATTATAGGATTATTTGTTAAGGATTGACTGTGTAAATCTTGGTTCATTGGAGTATGAATAAAAAAACAATGTAAGAATCAATACCTGAATCAAAAATATATAGTCAATTCTCATAACTAAATTCTACAGTGAAAACAATGTTTCTTTACAACGGTTTTATCAAAAACAATTATATTAATCAAGGCAGACAAAAATAATATACGTTCCTGGCGTAGGATTGCACTCAAACAAAACATAAATCAGGTGACTAGTTAGTTTATGCACAACACTTTATATGCCCTCAAAGTGACCACTGGATTGTCTGGTCCAGACTCGATTATTTACAGACCGCCGCCATATAGCTGGAATATTGCTGAGTGGCGTATAACTAAACTCACTCACTCACTCACTCAAAGTCAGTCATGGCATGCGACAAAACAAAGCGCAACTGTCCTACTAATGAATCAGAATAAATATGTTGGGGAGAAGGTAGCTGATTCAGACATCTGACAATGGGAAGAGACATCGGGAAACTGCTATTTAGAAATGAAAGATGTGATATTTGTCTAACCTGGGCAAGCCTGGCTGTTAGCTGTTTCATTTCTTCTCAGCCTTCGACCTCAAAGGGTTGTGTGGAAGTTATAATAGATTTGTGCATGTATTTCACTCAAGAGGTGTCTAATATACAGCAGTGGATAGTATTCCAGATATTATAGCTGACTGACTGTTGCAGACAAGCAAGCTGCAGCTGCTGACAGAGAAAGGCATGGGGGATGCTGTCAAGGAGTATGTGGACAAGGAGGAAAGGGAGGCAATCTCAGAACTTGTCAAGTACCAGTTGCAGAAGACACAGGTATGACAAACAGTCCCCAGTATTCTCCTAATGCACTACATTCCAACTATTCAGAGATAAAACTATTTATACTAAACTTAATGTCAAACACAGCCTTGAAAAGATGTAGATTTCTTCGGATGAATAGGGCATTGCCCATTTTTGTTGTGAAAATTATTTTGTCAAATTCTCTTGCATAGAAATATGTAATTGTCTTGTTCTGTTATAGGATCATCTGAAAGTGCGGAATGCTAGTGAAGACAGGATTGACACAGAGGTGACACATTTCCGTGAGGAGCGGAAGAAGAGGAAAGAGGAGGATGAAGAAGTTGCCGAGGCTCTTAAACGTGCTCAGTCCTTGCGATCACAGACTGAGGATCACCCCAGCGATGACGACAGAATGAGCCTCAACTCTGATGAAGAGTCAAAGCCAACGAGAGGTCGAGGTCGTGACGAGGGAGTCGTAGTAGAGGAGCTAAAGAAACAACCCGAGGTCGTGGGTCACGTGGAGGTCGCGGGTCACGTGGGGGCAGAGGTCAAAAGAAGGAGCCAGTAATTGCAACCAACGGGAATAGGTCCATCATGGACGCTTTTGCATCATCTTCATCATCTGCCTCACAGAGGAGTGCAAGAGGAGGAAACAAGAGAAAGACGTACAGGTAGGAACGTCCACAAAGTCCCAGACATCTGGTCTCCTTGCTAATGTGACCCGTTAAGAACAGGGTTAGAATAGGTCTTTAGCAACCTTCGCTTGTCATGAAGGCGACTAACTGGATTGGGTGGTCAGGCTCGCGGTCTTGGTTGACACGTCATTGTATCCCAATTGTGTAGGTTGATGCTCATACTGTTGATCACTGGATTGTCTGGTCCAGACTCTATTATTTACAGACTGCCGCCATATAGCTGGAATATTGCTGAGTGCAGCGTTAAACAACCAACTTTGCTAGTGTTGGTAATACTTGTGTGAGGCACTTTACATAAGCATCCTCAAGGCACCCCCATTATTGTCTCCCCCCAATATGTTTAAGTTTTCTTTATCATGAAATAAATAGTATGAGTCAGGATAAGTATGAAATAATATTTTTACATTTCAACAAATATACCCAGCAATACTTAATGTGTCATCATACTAGATGTGAAAATTTCCTTCTAGTGGATGGAGAGTGGATGGCGGTAAACAATGTCCAGACACATTTTAAAAAAACATGTTTTAAAACTGGTACTTGCTTAGTGCTCAGCATTAAATGGATAAAGCAGGCACTTGTCAGCGAGAAATCAGTATTCTGTGAGTGAGTATGGTTTTACGCCACTTTTAGCAATATTCAAGAAACATCACGGCCGGGGACACCAGAAATGGGCTTCACGCATTGTACCCATGTGGGGAAACAAACCTGGGCCTTCAGCGTGACGAGCGGATGCTTTAACCATTAGGCTACTACCCCCAGTATTCCGTGCATGAGTGGGGTATCCATGTTGAACTGACACATCTCAGTGGGCCAGCATGATTTCACATCCCTGTATATTACATGCATATTCATGAGTTTTTTGTTTGATTAAAATGTTGTCCTTCTCTTGCCAGTGGCTTGGACATGTCTGATGATGATGATGTGGTCACCATTGATGATGACGAAGATCCATTCGAGATTTCATCAAGCAGAAAGCAGAAAAGCCAGAAGCCATCGAAAAAAACTGCATCACGCCAAGGTGTTGCATTTGATTCGGATAGTGATGAAGAAATAATGTCTTTTCCAAAGAGACGAAGATGAAGAAGGCATATAATATATAGACTTATACATGTAGTTAGTAACATGCAGTGTGACTGGTACAGATTTGTTATGTGAGTTGATATAATTGTTAGGAAGTATAGCCACCCATGAATTCCTGTCCTGGAAAATGTCTGTATCAGTACTACCACTCAACTGAAGGTAAAGAAGACTTGATTTTTGTTTTATGTGATGATTGTCACAGGAAAAAAAGTAAGTTGTTAATTACATCATGCTGTAATGTTATATTGCAATGACTATCGCTCGTCTCTAGGGGTGTGAACAAAGACTTGTTTTGTTGGCTTTCATTTGTTGCAACATAATTCTGAGAATATTTCACAATTTAAAGCTTTGGAAAAGTGTATTAATATTGTCACTTTTGTATAGTCATGGATAATCAATTACCTTTGTTACATTGTTTGTTTCCCAAATGTGAATGTTCAACCAGAAATTGATATGTACAGAATTAAATTCTGACATATATGACAGTATAAGATCAGTGAACAGTTAAATTATGTTCAAATACCAAAGGTTAAAGTTGATGAGAGGTAATACAAAAAGGTAGGGCAGCAGCAACAACAATTAATGCCGAAGTCAGGGCATACAAAACTGTCCTGTCTTTCGAAGCCTTTGAATATCATTAAATGAAGCATGTACTCCATAATTTTCCAAAAGGTATCCCAATCACACTGGACAAGTCATAGGTAGAGGTGCTGCAATTGCCCTCATGTCACTCCTTTAAACAATACTTAGAAACAGGATATCAGAGTTTGCTTCAAGAACCAGGTAATCATTTCCAGAAGTGTAAACTGTAAAGGTTTACTGAACTAGCTCCTCATTGGTTATCCCCATATATTAACAAAGGTGATTAACTGGGTCTGGCCCATCAGACCAGTTTCCACTAGATTTCATTGGAGATAAAATTACAATCTTCCATAAAAATCTGGCTTACAGTTAGTTTTCAGCAACGTGTGCTTGTCAATCACTGGATTGTCCGGTCCACACCATATGGACAGAATATTGCAACAAACGTACGGCTACAGTACATTGTAGGTCAGAAATCTCAACTTTTATAACAACGATAGTAAGTGACTATTTCTGGTTCCATTTCATGATGTCAATCAACACTCATGTTTCTTTGTCTAATGTACATTCCATATGTGGGACACATAATGTGATACATCTTGAACTTTGACAGTTGTTACTGTAATTTTTTAAATATAAATTTTACTTCAAAGAGTGAACTCTTATACCTTGTATACTAGTGGTTTGATTAAACAAACTTCTCAATTTTGGTTCCATAAACATAGAATATTATTTGTTAAGATTTGATTAGTCCCCAAAGATTGTATTATGTCCAATTGATGTCTATCAAATGAAAGGCCTTAACTGGGTTTAGTGGAGGTACATCATGTACATATGACAATGATTAAACTTGATTATGAGATCTTTGTGTGTCAGTTTGTACAAGTTAACATGCCATACAAAAGCCCAATGCGGCATGGGTGAAGATGTTTATTACTGTGATAACAACTGCACAAATATGAAAGGTGTTCCAACATGTAATCTACCAGCTGGAAGTTCATCTTAATGAATCAATGACTTGGTGTGTGACCCCGCTCATCATCAGTGAATTGTCTATTCCAACTTGATTATTTACAGGCCGTCATATAGCTGGAATAATGCTGGGTGTGACGTTAAACAACAAACACAAAACACTTATTAAACTCATTTAATAGTGTACATTTACAATTAGGAAGTATCCCATGTGTTTCAGAAAAGGTACAGGGTTTTGACCTAACTTAAATTTGGGCATGTAGTATCATTTCGTAGTCATAGACATATATACTGAGTGTCAAGTAAGTGCAAATTGAAGTGCTCATTTGCCATGTGGACATACTGGAGTTTGTGCCATCCAGTCCACTGCACAGACTGGCATTAGATAACAAAACCATACACCCATTAAGTTAGCAGTAGACTGTGTTGCTGGTTTGTTATGTCATGACTGGTCTTCGTCTAAACATGTTCAAGCCTGACCAGCTGTGTAAGACCACAATCTTTGATTATGCCAAATCTTAAATATTAAACGGTGAATATGTGCTGAACAGCATTGACATAGACAATACAGAACAAGTTTCAAGGAAACTTAGAAACCTTCATCTGGATCCTGCACACCAAAGTAAAGACAACAGTAATTTTATTGTTTATTTGAGCATTTTATTCTTGGGTTTTGTTTTATTTTCGCCTAAAATGATGCACATCTCATCACAGACTGAACTGCAAGTTACCTCTGATGCCATGAAGATGGAACAATTTCATGGTAAAATTGATCCAGATTTCTAATATTCACAGACGTAAAATATATTCCACCTTCATGCACCAAACTTTGCTGTGACAAAACATACTTTATAAGACTCATTCACAACAGACAGAAATATACAAAATTAAACCAGCTCTTTCAGCTGTCCTCTAAAAGATGACCAAATTATAGGAATGAAGTTAAATTATCATCTCCATTCACAGCCATGTGATACTTGAGAAGGATTGGTCAGGAACTGGTTAAGGAACCACCAACTGTGGACAGTGGTCATGGGGAAAAACCATGGCTTCCATGTCCTAGATATTCATTCCTTGTTAGCTTCACATATTGCTAGGTGGTATTATGGAAAGAGTGATTCTTGAAGAAAATTATAAGGAACAATAGCACTTCTAGCATACGAAATGTTTGCTATGAACATCCTGTTCACTTCTCAATTACATCTCTTCCTTGCCATTGCATGAAATCATTATATCACTAGTTTTTTGCTGCATTTTGTGAAAGATAAAATAAAAAGTCAGTAACGTGATAGGTGACCCCATTTGGGCACAGGTGAGAGTGGTCGGTCCGTGAGAGTGTGACGAGGGTCCCTGCCATGATCACAAACTCCCAGTCTGACAGCACGCAACCCAAGGTTGGATCAGCAACAGACGAGCAGATGGCACAACGATTTGACCGCTGGAGGATCATGCAAGATGATGATGACCAGATTGGGAAAACAGATCATCAGTTGTGGATCTTGATCGCCTTCTCCAGGTAGTTGTAGCGTGATCTCTTTGGTGTCTTGTTCACATGATCTAGCCCAAGCCATGGTCGGGCTTGCACACCACCACCTGCAAAACAAACAGGACACCTATAACAATGACCGAACATGGTAAACATTTACTAATGTAAACTGACTAATCCTAAGCTTCGTCTCCACAAAGAATATGTAGTATTCATTGTGGCACAGCTTAAAGCAACTTTTTGTGTAGCAACTGACACACCTATTAGAGCATCTATATATTGGGTGATATTTATATAACAGCAGAAATCATGTTTGGTATCAAATATGTTAATACAAAACCATCTGATAAATGTATATGACATCAGAGAAACCATATTTAACTAAGATGCCTGTCAATGCTTTTCTTCTGTCAATGACCCAATTTCAATTCTTGCTGTTGTACAATCCTTTCCTTACCTGGGAGAGAGTGTGGTATGAACTGTGACAAGTTCACCTTTTCTTCGTCTTCTGAAATGTACTCCTGTCGACCCATCACGACTACTGCAAACTTGTACTGAAAGAAGATCAGGCATCAGTGTCATTGTCATAAATCAGGACATTTAGATTCCACATCAAGATAGATGACAGAAGATATCCATGCAGCCTAAAAATAAATCAACTTGAAATGTTCTAAAGCCATGTGTTTGGTTCAATAAAGAACACATTATGTCCACATAATTGCATTTACCTTCTCAAATTCTTTCTCTGAGACGTCAAGTTTCTTCCGTATCCTCTCTTTCACTGAGGAGAAAGCTTCATTCTGCAAAAGAGAATGTGTTATCGTGAAAAACTGTATTGTCAAGCAGTATGAAATGCTGTTAGGACTAAGTAGTTGCAACCGTGCCACAGATATGCCGCAGTCATCAGTGTTCAAGTCATGTTGTGATGGGGATTTAATGTAACCTGAGTTTTAACTGGGTTTTAACTATCAACTTAATTGAATGTCGAGTTCAATTTATTGTCCGAGATTGTCTTTTCAAGCAAATACAGCATCTACATTATCACAATTCATCCAACAACACCTCCAATGAAATCATCACTTTCACCCTACCAAATACTTCAAACTCTCTACCTCAGTAAATTCATTCAGTTATAGTCAATTTATACTGCTATCATTAAACAACACATTACATTAGCTCAACATTTACACTAGTGATGTATGGGGTATTGTGGGTCGTAGCCTTGCCAAATAAACGTACCTTGTAGGGTACAGAAAGAGGTGATGAATGGTATGCATAAAGCTAGGAAGGCAGGATAAAAATCCAATATTATTTATAGTACATTTTCAGAGTGGACAGATAGTATTACTCACATGCTTTATCTTCAATAAAAATGGTACACCAAATGTGGAGAATACTTCCTGTAAACAGATAAAAGCACAGGATTAGAAATCATTTCAGTTTTTTTTTCAGTGAAATGCGATGGTTTTAGAGTCTCTTTGAATGGTACCACAGTTATATTTCAGCTGAGCAAGGAAAGCACAATACAGGTCTTACCACTTGAGTGAAACCCATAGACACAGATATGGTACAGGCAAACCAAGATAAATAATAATGGGATTCAAACCCCCAGTTATACACATAAAATTATTGGGCTAAAGAAATAGCAATACTTCTGCCCAGGATAAACATCAGACTTTGCAAAGGATGACAACCTAATATGGACGTAATTCCTCCACTAAAAGTGTTTTGCATCATGTCTTTATCCACTGTTGACTTTTAGTTTCATTCTGAAAAATTACACAATTCATAAAATCAGTATATAATGGAATAGCCAATAGGAACAGCTCTGCAAAGAAATATAATGCTGGTCCCTGATGGCGACCTTCAACGCAATATGACATCAGTGTTGACCTTCACCTTGTGGAAGTGAGCAACAGGTAGGAGCAGCTCGTCCTCTGAGATGACAGACTCCTCCTTGGGAACCTCCTCCACCCGATACGTCTTGGTCCCTGTAGCATTGAGGCAGTCCAGGGAGATATCCTCCTTCTGTACAGCAAAGATCTTGTAGCTGATGATCTCAAGAAGGCTGAAGATTGAAATACAGAAACTGTGGTATTCTTAAAGGATGGACAACAGTAAGCTTTGTGCAAATCATTGTGAATATTTTCATTACAATTGTATTTCCAATGCAAAAACATTTACAGCTTGTATTCTAAGAGGCTGTAAAATTTTGTGTTGTCAATGATCAATTCCAGTTTGTTAAAGCTAATTAATAATGGTAAACAAAAAGCTTTTAAACACCACTTTTTTCAAGCAAGCAAATTCATGCATTGTTTCAGAAGGTATTAAATGAGTTCCAGTTATTAGTCTAATACCCAGCTTCTAGGATGTACTCACCGAAGTCTACCTGACGACTGGTCAGAAATTTCCACCTGTTTCCGAGCCTCCTCAAGCAGGTCACTGACCTTCCCGCTCTTATTGGGATACAGGACCAGCTCTCTCTGCAGTAAACCACATACAACTGATTATTGCATTGACAGAGTAAGAACTTATACCCAATCTCATTCAATCTACAACAAACCTTTTTGAAAAGTTTACTCAACATACCAATTATAAAACATGCTACACAGATGTAAAATATTTTCATCCATCCACTGATTGACCCAGTCTGTGTACTAACCTCTTCCTTGAGATCGCTGCTGACCCAGATACACTTGAAGGGACGTTTGTTCTCCAATTCATTGATCTTTATACTCAGCTGAAACAAAACATAACAGATCATAATATAGCTTCATTTTGTACAAATAGTTAATAATGCAACAGTGTATATCATTATTTTGTGCTTTCCCAAATGCATATCTGATGCCTTGCCCATTTTTCTCCTGACCAAAAAAAGACACTGTATAAGTAGAGACACCATAATTAATATATTGCAGCTGAAGATACTTGTCATTGAACTGGCATTACCAACCTGCTGATAGTAGAGTTTCTTGGGCTGCCTGGGTTTGGCATAAATAAGCAGGTCCTTCAGGGATCCCTCATATGAACAACGCACTGGGTTTCCTGGACCATCTCGGTACCTGCAATACACACAGGAAAGGCAGCTTATTAATATATCCCTAAGGAACATGACTGTGTTGAATGTATATCTGCCTCCAAGTCAAAAGTTGACGAGTACAAGCTCAAAGTACAATTTCAAATGATGAAATGTGTTGAACGTACCCCTGGCTCTTGAAGAACTGCAACAAGTAGGGATCTGTCCCGAGGTGCTTTGCAACTGTGTCAGCCATTGCGTCATAGTTATTCCTCAGAGACAGTTCCAGGGGGAAGCCAGGGTCATTGGGGATTGATTTATCACAGAAAACGACTTCCACCCGGTAATACAGATCTCTGCAATACAACAATACCATTCATTAACACCTACTGTTTCATTTTTACAACAATACTTAAACAAACACGAAGTTGAAGGGATATAGGTAAATACTTGAAGTTATCAAAAGTTCGACACAACTGAAAAAATCACACAAAAAGGAAGCATCCAAATGTTCCCCCTGAAGATCTGCTGAAAGTCATTGAGAAAATATGAATGCGTGATTATTCCTCTGAATTGTCTGCTGTGTACACTAATATAAAAACAAGACTTCAACATTAACCCTTACCTGAAGTACTCTTTAACAGTGGGCAGCTCATAGGCATCGAGGTCAGGCTCATCACGTTGAAAGACAAGAATGTCACCATCCATCAACTCTTCAAGGAGTTTATCAATTGGTTGGTTCAAGTTTTCAAGTCGCTCAAGGAGGTTTGGCTTAACTTCCTGCAAGAATGTAGCTCAGGATCAGGGGAGATAACTAGGACGGGCATCCAACACATGGGATATAATATAGATACAAGATGAAAGGTTCCCTTTCCATTGACAAATATGTTTGAGCTGAGCTGAGATCAAGACAACAACAATAGTTAAGACAACTGTCTTGTATGTATTCATCTCAGTGGATGGACACTGCATCGAGAAGTATTCCAGCTTATCACTATAGCAGCTGAACAAGCAGTGGCTGACAGCATGGCTACTGATCCTATGAGCAGGATGCAGTGACATATTTAGCGACATTATAGAAGCTGTATCAACAGACAACTGTCTTGCAGATATCAACTTCCTTATTCTTTCAATGCAACATTTTAGTACAGACACTTGTACCTTATATCAAGTAAGTCACTTGCTTTGAGGGACAGTTTCACACTGGTTATCAGTAAGGGCATGCTGTCAGTGAAGTTGAGCAAACATGTCAATTCTGCCTACACAAAATTTCATAACAGCTATGGCATTTGTAAGTGCTCACCTCAAAGATGATCAGTGCTGTTGTTGGTAGAAACCCTGCCTTTCGGTTTAATTCTGGCACTAATTCAACTGTAAAGGATTATAGACAAAAGGCATTAGAATTCTCTTCCGTGATACAAATAACCATAACAACATCATAGATGAACACATTATTATCATTATCTATGTTTTACCCTTAAACGGTACACCACTTACCACCTTTGGCTGATATTGGCACATAGATATGACCACAGTAAGATATGGATTTGGTCCTGGGATCATACAGCTTCAGAAACAGCAACACATCACCTGAAACAAGAATGACAACTTAGCAGTCTTTCAGCCAAATCCTATCCTTTTGAACTTGAATTTTGCTATAATTTGTTGTGTTCTCTGAAAGGGATTCCAATGTGGAATACATTCTCAGTGTAAGATTATTATTGTTAGAATAGAACTAAAATGAGTGAACAGTAAGTTAGTTAAGACTTTTAGTCACATTGGCAATATGTCAGCCATATTGTGACAATGAACGTGTGAATCAGGTAAAAAACAGGACTTGGAACAGCATTGCAGTTATATTATCATGAGTTGGCTTGATGTGGGAGAAAAGCCCAAGTGATGCAGGTCTTCGATTTTTACCACTTCCATGAATCCAATGAGGAGATTTAGAAACATTTAACTAAGTTTAGGACAAGATCAGGTTTAATATTGATGAAAAAATTACTTGAGTACTTACTGTCTTTATCAAAGGGAGGCAACTCCTTGAGGCCACTCTCTGGACTTAATGTCTCAACAAACACATACCACGGATTCTCGTTATCCGCAATTTCATGAATCTGAAACACACAACCAAATCGTATGCAAAAAGCTACACCTGTAACATTAACAGTTTTTACAGAAAGACTTATCAAAACAGTTCAGGGACACATTATTATTATAATCGAAACCAGGTCTTCTGCATGACCGTCAAATGCTTTAACCACTTGACTACCCCACTGCCCAAGAAAAGATGAGACTACACACAGAGATTGCCTAGAATGTTTAGACATAAGATGATGGAGATTTGGCAACACAACACTGTATGCTTCCAACATTTTATACTTACTGATTTCTGGATTTCTGTGTCAATGTCTAGAATGGTTGGTCTGAATGTCTGATTCTGCCGTGAATGAAAAGGCCATGGCCGTATCTGTTTCACTGGATATTTCTGAAAACATGAGTAATACCCAAAAATATTCAGTAAGTCCTCTACATGAACTGCAGTAACAGTGTTTAAAAACATCATCAAAGAAAATCTCATAACTGCTTATACTAATCAAACATTAGTGAACTAAGTTTCATACATGAAGGCAGAAAGAATGTGGTGAAACATACCAGGTTGTCTCCTAATATTTCCAGGAATTCCTCTAAGGTTGCATTTTTCTTCACCTTGAAGTTCCTACAAAAAAAATATATTTCCATGACATCAATAGGAAACAACATGCTATAACTGCTACGTTTTATAGACATATGGCAACTTAAAACTAAAGAATACCTTATAAAACTATGTATTAAGCACAGTCTAGACAGAAACTGCATATTCTTACCAGATATTCTTATTTGAATCATGATTTCAAGCAAAGCTGGAGAGTGATTTTGATAAAGTTGATCACTTGATGTCTCCACATTGTATCCATCTCACTCACCGAACATTGACTTTCTCAATGTCAAAGAGATCATTTCCTTGATGTCCACAGAAGCTGTCTTCCAACAAAACTTGGACATTCATGTACAGGTGGGCCTCTGTCCTCTCCTTTCGCTTCTGAGCATCTAACCTCCTGCAACATACCAGCTCCATCCTTATACACACACTCAAGACTAAAACAGTACACTCAAAACAGCCACAGTAGAGCCATGACTACACATACACAAGGCTATAATAACCCATAAAAATACACATGTACTGAGACACTTCGAAAATGCAGATTATAAATCAACAACAAGACATGGTCATCAATATCCCCTGCCAGTGTTCTGTTCCTATTTGGTTCCTGAAAACACATAACACATTTCCCTATCTATAATGTTTTCTGAGAAAATTTGTCCCCATTGGGGATACCGTGCATTAAGTCAAGAAACACATGACAAGGGCTAAAACTCTGTAACAAATTGTAACCTGGTTTCAAACTCCATCAAGGCATTCATGTCCTGAAAACACATACCAAATTTGGGTTCCCTATCTATAACGGTTTTTGAGAAAATCTGCTGTCCCCATCATCTCGGACAGACGGACAGAGCTCAAACCTATATCGCCCTCCCACTTCATGGTGGGGGATAATAATAGAGACCATGAAGATGACCCACTTCCAGAGAAACAGTGTCTTGTCCTCCCCTCTGCTTGCTATATTCATGTCACTGATACCTACATGCTGTAGAAAGTCATGTTGGAACAGCTGTTGATGACATCGACAAAGACATTGGTTGAAGCACAGTCTAAAACATCTGCTGAAGCATCGTTGGGCTGTCAAACCCCACCTCACTATGAGGAAATCATGTTGGTGTGTATTGTTGCCCAAACCACAGTTCATCGCCATCACACCAGCACAATGTTTGTCACAGATGCTACACTTTACTCAAGCTCTTCCATCAGATAATAACAGTAAGAGATCACAGCCTTCCTGTACAAACCAGCAGGTTTTATACAGTAACAATGCAGCCTTGATGTCGGGTGACATTGTGCCATGATGTTGCCAGTGTAGGAACATCAGTAACTCAGTCTTGAGACTTGTAAGCTTTGGATGTAAGCTTATTAAGTGAACAGACTATTAAAAAACAGCCAAACACATTTGGAACTTAACAGGAAAGAAGCAGTCCTCCAGGTGTGCATGGCAGGTAAGTTCAACTATTGTTGGTCAGGATGTTCATGCCTGCTGCTGATTGGTCAATCAGACAACCAACTGTTGAAGGGTTATACCTTGAACATTGGCTACATCACCATACCCAAAGCTTGTCTCCTTGATACATGTTAGTTCAATGACAGCATCGGAACAGTGTTGTGGCTATTTTTGTGTTCTGATATTGGATATGCACAGAATTCATTGTTCACCACCATCCATGCTCAGAGTCTTGGACAAAAATATGCTTGTGACAATCATAGAGTGTCACAAACAGTAACCGATTTCAATCTGAAGTTTCGGAGAAGATAACATGTTTACCTCAAAACATGTCATTCTCATCCAGATTTTCTAACTATGAATCCTCCCCTTAAAAAATCTGAACTTTTCTGTTTCAAAACCTGTAGGAATTTGTTTTTGAAGCCTAAAAATTTCCTGAATATTTGATATTGAGAAAGCTGAGCTGGACGAGAATGCACATCATACATAATTTTACTGACACACAAAACCTTCAGTTCTTGCGAATCATCCTTGGGGGTGCTATTTACCTGTAGATGCATGGTTAACAACACGAACTGTCAAATGATTTAAAAATAGCAAAGATTACTTGAAATACTTATCAGCAACTGCATATTTGACCTCCATACCTTTCCTCTGCTAATCTGTTCTTGAGGGTTTCTGGGATGTCTACTTCAATAACTGGCTGTAATATCTCACCTGCAAAAGAATAAAATATTAAATTCATACACACAAGAAAACTGAAAACAATATTGCTGTAGGACAGTAAACCAAATGTTATTATGAAGAAATAGGTCACATAATTGCAATTCCAATTAATTTGTTTAAATACTCTTGGAATAAGTCAATAACCAATGATGTCAGTAAGTAAATGTGCAATGTTCAACTGCTATCCAAACAAGCTGTACTTACTCATACTACTTTCTCGTATATACACCAACATATATGCATTTGTACAGTGTTTGACAGTCATGTCATCGTCCAGACCACCGAAGTTGTGATCTATGGCTTCTTGCTTTGTACACCGAGATACTACATCATCGTCAAACTTGCACCACTGAAACAGTCAGGAATAAGAACTGCCTGAAATTGACATCAAACTTAATAAATTACATATAAGATATGTCACCCAGACTTTCATGAAAATACTTTGTTCCTACCCTTTTAAACTATTACTTTATGGTGATAACTAGTCTATGGATATTTGTTAATACGCCTTGATTGACCTTTATAAATGATCTTGTCAAAGTAGAATACAGCAATAAATACAGTTTAGGATGTTTCACCATATTTCTTTCAACAAATCACCAAAATAATATCAACGTCCATTCATCATCAAACATATCATACAGTTGAGTGAATATTTCATCCCTATTTATTGTACTCGTAGAAATCTTTATGCTGCATTCAGTAAAACAAAAGTTTGCTTGTGATACTCACTTTGCCGTCTCCCTTTGAATTGATATATACAACATAATGCCCCCCATGGTTATCCCCGCTATGTACAAGCACTGCATGTAAGATGTAGTTGGCCGGAGTCTTCTCCTTCTTCTGTAGGTACTCATCCAGGTTCAACCGCTCTGGGAACTCAAACCTGAAACACCAACATTCTCATAACCAAAACTTGAAAATATCCTGCACTGTGAACTTACGCTGCTCAACTACTGAAGCAGATGCACATGGTTTTCAGAGACTGACATGGTGATATCTATCTTTCTTGGCTCTCATAACCAAAACTTGAAAATATCCTGCACTGTGAACTTACGCTGCTCAACTACTGAAGCAGATGCACATGGTTTTCAGAGACTGACATGGTGATATCTATCTTTCTTGGCTCTCATAACCAAAACTTGAAAATACCCTGCACTGTGAACTTACGCTGCTCAACTACTGAAGCAGATGCACATGGTTTTCAGAGACTGACATGGTGATATCTATCTTTCTTGGCTCTCATAACCAAAACTTGAAAATACCCTGCACTGTGAACTTACGCTGCTCAACTACTGAAGCAGATGCACATGGTTTTCAGAGACTGACATGGTGATATCTATCTTTCTTGGCTCTCATAACCAAAACTTGAAAATACCCTGCACTGTGAACTTACGCTGCTCAACTACTGAAGCAGATGCACATGGTTTTCAGAGACTGACATGGTGATATCTATCTTTCTTGGCTCTCATAACCAAAACTTGAAAATACCCTGCACTGTGAACTTACGCTGCTCAACTACTGAAGCAGATGCACATGGTTTTCAGAGACTGACATGGTGATATCTATCTTTCTTGGCTCTCATAACCAAAACTTGAAAATACCCTGCACTGTGAACTTACGCTGCTCAACTACTGAAGCAGATGCACATGATTCTATTTCATGATATTTATAGAAACCACTGATTTTCCACAAGTCCAATGTCAACTGATGATAGTTGAACTCACTGATGTATCAAGGCATGTACAGTTGAGAAACAAGGAGAGATACGTATCCATAGTGTGAACAGGTGAAACTCACCTGTCATTGATTTTGATGTTGGCATCTGTGATAGGGTCATACATGAATCTCATTAGGTGTAAGTGTAGGACAGGTGGATACTGTAAGAAGACAACTCCCTTCTCTGATTCCTGAAACAGACAAATCCAACTGGTGTATGTTCTGCATGCAGTACGGTGCTATAACACACTTATCTAAGTGTGTGGAAAAACTGACTATAGGACATTGGGGACCAAATGGAATCTGGACGTGGCATGGTGGGATGTGATAGTGAAGCATGTGACACCTGTAATTACCTGTAGACCATACTCCCCAGCATCGTACTTGTTGTCTCCGTCCAGCGTCTCAACTGTGATGTATTCCTTGAATGACTCATGAACTGAAACAGGATGTGCAATGATCTGTTATCATTGACCAATTTAGGAAACAAACAATATATGTAGGTTTAACACACTAGTCTCACACTACATTTTGTAAAACCATTGAAGGGGACATATCAGTTATTTCCACTTAACAAAAAATCAGATTATTTCTCAGAATTTGGGTAATACACAGTCCTGATCTAGCAACTCTGTAACATTAACACTTTGAACTATCACATTTCAGCTCACTTACCATTCTTCTTGCCCTTGACATTGAGTTGAATATCAAAGAAGGTCTCAGTCTTCTGAGATCCATACTCTACATGTTTACACTTGATGTATGACTGAAAGGCAACAGGGGATATCACATGAAGTCAAATGTCTCAGACACAATGAAAAATAAGTAGGTTCACATACAAACTTGATTCAATATTTAAAAAAGGAAAATATCAACTGAAGATTATAATATGGGATCAGTAGCCTAAATATATATGTAACACTAGGTTTTCAGGGGATAATAGTCATCCAATTTATCAGGCCATAACACCAATATCAGACCATAGTAAAAATATCATATCACAGTGACCATAATATACAACTATCAGAGCAGAGATCCAATATGAAACAATGGTGCTAATATCAAACAATAGAGACATCATGATATAGTGCAAATATATGCTCCCCAGGGAGTTGAGACTGATAATACGATGTGCCATTGAGACTGACATCCAATGATTGAGGGGAAAAAAACCTGTGCCTTGAGCATGCACTAGTTGCATGGATATGTGCACTATATAAATATCCTATAATAATAATAACAAGAAGACAAAGTCATCAATATCCCCGCAATGGCAAAATACTCTTCATGATTATGTCTACGAGTTATGATTATGTCAGATATTTAGGTGTGTATATAGAAAAGTGGAAGGAGAGTATTGAAAAGTTTTTAAAGTTCTGCTCCAGTAAGGAACACTATCACCAATTTTAGGCTAAGTCAAACTTGTTGCCATGGAAACGCCAAAATATTTTATTCAGAATTCCAAAACTAACAAAAGGCACCAGTACACCGCCAGACCAATCTATGTGCCAAGTTTGGTGAAGAAATAGTGAACAGTTTTAGAGTTCTGCTCCAGGAAAGGTCACAACCACCAATTTCAGGTTAAGTCGAACTTGTTGCGATGTATACGCCAAAAATATTTTATTCAGAAATCCAAAACTACCAAAAGGCACCAGTACACCACCAGCTCTATGTATGTGCCAAGTTTGGTGAAGAAACATTGAACGGTTTTAGAGTTCAGCTCCAGAAAAGAGCACTACCACCAATTTCAGGTTAAGTCAAACTTGTTGCCATGGAAACGCCAAAAATATTTTATGCAGAATTCCAAAACTACCAAAAGGCACCAGTACACCACCAGATCTATCTATGTGCCAAGTTTGGTGAAGAAATATTAACGGTTTTAGAGTTCTGCTCCGGAAAAGAGCACTACCACTAATTTTAGTCAAAGTCGAAATTGTTGCCATGGAAATGCCAAAAATATTTTATTCAGAATTCCAAACTACCAAAAGGCACCAGTACACCACCAGATCCATGTATGTGCCAAGTTTGGTGAAGACATATTGAACGGTTTTAGAGTTCTGCTCTGGAAAAGACAAATGTGCACGGATGGACGCACACACGGACAGAGTCCATTTTAATACCCCCCGCAAAACGCGTTGCGAGGGATAATAAAAAAATATATATCTATATCAGATTGATTCTGATGAAAGAATAAACAGGCAGTTGACAACAGTTGTCAGTAAGGTGACATAATCCCCACCACAAATTATCAAATCAAACTTAAAAAGTAATGAAAGTGAAGGTCGTAGTTTAAGATGAAGTTAAATGTCAACAAAAACATGACCAGTCAACCTCTCTTGATATCTTGCTCTGTAGCTGTTCAAACACACAAATATTTTCAAGACTCACTTTGACCTTGACATGAATGTCATGGTGTATGAAATATGCAAAAAATAGTAATAAAGAAATTGCTTATCAAAAAACATTCAAGAGAAGTCTTGAAAGTCTATGAAGAAAATCCAGTGAACCGTTCTTGAGATATCTTGCTGACAATCTTAACATACTGAAATCTTATGTGAAAAAATAATATGAAGGTCACCAAAATCGACTGCCCCCTGCGCCTTCCCTACATGAAGCTTGGTGTCAAATATGATGAAAATCCAGTGAATGGTTCTTGAGGTATCTCGCTGACAAGCTTAACATGCAGGTTAACAACCTGAAATCTTCAAAGTGTTGCTGTGACATTGAAAATTATGTGAAGGTCACCAAAATCAACTGGGCCCTGTGCAACTTCCCTAGATGAAGCTTGGTGTCAAATATGAAGAAAATCCAGTGAACAGTTCTTGAGATATCTCACTGACAAGGGTAAAACGTTAAAGTCCTCTTGTGACCTTGAAATGAAGGTCAAGGTCACCAAACTTGCATACTGAACCTAGAAACCAAGTATGAAAATACTGTGATGAACCTTTGTACCAAGTATGAAAATAATACTAATGCCTAGTTCTTAAGATATTCCAATTTATACACTAAACGAATAATAAGTCATGGTTCAAATGCATACAGGAAATAAATATGCTACCAGAATTAGGCTTCACATTTTGTACCCATGTGCGGAATCAAACAGGGTCTTCAGCATGACAAGTGAACGGTTTAACCACTAGGCTACCTCATCGCCCCTCTACAAAAAAAGACATGAAGGCAATTAAGCAAATATAACACTCACCCAAATGATTTCGTAAGTTTCTTTGTTCCTACTGGTTTATCACTGAACTGCAGCTCATAAAAGACCCTCTGGAGTGCTAGGGGGACACTTTTTGAACCATCATCACTCTCAGTGGGCATCATGTACACAGCCTGAAGTAGAAACAAGTGTTGTAAGTCTTAAGTTGCCATGTGAGCAGGGATCTGTGTTGTTGGTAGCAAGCATCAGAACCCTAGCTTAACAGTCTGCACAGTGCAATCACAATTCTTAGAGTTCTTGTTGATCTCCACGTAATAAAATACTTTTAAACATGGATTGGGATCCTAAAGTCTCTCAATAGTTCCTGTGATAACTTCCTTTCCTTCAATGATTCTAATTGTGGATGTTTCCCAATCAGATGTATATATGTATCACTGGCAAGTGCAGAGATGTGCGTTTATTCAGTAAGGGGGCCACCGGCCCTTTATACACATACATGTCAGAAGGATTCAAGACATGACATGAAGCGCCATAAAGTGGCGGAATGGACATAGAGGTATAATTGTACAGAGATGTGAACACAAGATCAGCAGGATGCAAAGTATTTCATACTTTTTTTCATAGCTAAAAATATATATTTAGCAAGGTTGTTCATATCAATCTTAACAGTAGGGCTAGCTTGTTTTCAGAAGGATATACATGGTAAAAACGTGGTATGAGAGATGTTCTCAGATCGTCATAGAAGGACATTCAAGGCAAAAATGGTATTCTGATTCGATCATAGGAATAACACACAAGGGACACAACCGTTCGTTGCGTGCAAGATTTAAACGTCTTCCATGTTCAATCATTAACATATGATTTGAACAGCGAAATCTACAAAGGGCAATACAATATACCTTCACATTTACAGCACTAATGAAATATTCTTCTGACACAGTCATTTTTATCTGTCTGAAAATCTAGTTTAGTATATTTTTCAAGATATGAAGCCCACGTTTGAAGATCAATATCAATACACCTCTGCTTAAATTGTATGAGGAAATTGTTTACATTTGTAATTTGTTGATCAATCCAAACATTACCAAAACCATAGCTGAAGAGAAGTTTCTTAAGCTTCTTCTTTACTGAATAAACACACATCTCTCACTGGCAAGTGCATAGAACAACCCTTCATCACACATAACCAAAAATGTGTGATTGAAGTCTGTGAAGTCGACTTTTTCTATATACTTTTCTGTATGTCATTGTTACACAATTAAAAGCTGACCTTACAAGATAAAACAGATGCTTACTAGATGCCTACTAGACTTGGAAGAGACTATAATTTGGCAGGAATACTTTTGCAGTGATATTGTTTTAGATTGTTGTTTCTCTGATGCCCCATTCAGCTATATTCCATCTATACTACCCATCAAAAGTTTAGACTCACTTAAAACACTCACTATATGTCATGTGGATATATATGGTTACATCGAAGATCAAAATCTCCAATAACTTGGGGAACCAACTACAAGCATTATGCAAATGAATTGCATGAGGATCATGCATTAAATGGAGGAGAAATGTGCAAATATCGTGCATGTGAACTGCTGCATTTTGGTGTAAAGTTTTGTTAGAATTCGCCAATTTCCAAGGAGATGATAAACATAGAGGCATCATTACATTAGCACACATGAACCTATGGTTGAGGATAGCAACATGAAGACACTTACTTTCCTGAGTTTGTTGGTAAAGAAGAGAGTTTGAAGCAGAGAGTTCATGTAGCATGTGGCCCCCTGGTTCTTTAAGCCCACAAAGCCTGTGTGCTTCTTTGAGTCCCAGCTACAACAAAGATAATAACAGTTTTAAATAAATAACATGGCAAAATGAACATCTTAACGAAACAAGCAAATGAGGCAAACTATCATGAAATAAAGGTTGGTACAACATACAATGTAATTTGATACTCCGAAAGAGAGCTTTGTAATTTCAAACACTTAAAAGACAACTTCCAACAAGTGTTTGCCACTAATATGGTAATGTCCCCTGCCGCTAAAGCAGAACGAAATATTTATAACATATTTATAACATATTTACTACTTTTTATATTTTTGTCAGATAAAAGACGCCTGAAATGACTGGTGTCCATATAATCACCCAATGTAGGCTGTCAACATAATTGAAGACATTGGGTACAATGTTTTATGACACATTGCGTTTACTAGCGTTTGAAAAGTGGTTAAAGTGGCGTGGTGACCTTGAAAATGAGGTCAAGGTCACCAAAATCGACTGGTGTCTGTGTAATCCCGCAAAGTAGGCTGTCACCAAATTTGATGACATTGGGTACAATAGTTCATGAGATATCGTGTTAACAAAAGTTGAGAAAGTGGTCAAAGTGACGTGGTGACCTTGAAGATAAGGTCAAGGTCACCAATATCGACAGTTTGTCTGCATAATCCCCCAGTGTAGGATGTCACCAAATTTGAAGACATTGGGTACAATAGTTAACACATAGTTAATACATAATAGTTAATACATTGCGTTAACAAGAGTTTGAAAAGTGTGACCTTGAAAATTAGGTCATGGTCACCAAAATCGACTGGTGTCTGCGTTATCCCCCAATTTAGGCTGTCACCAAATTTGAAGACATTGGGTACAACAGTTCATGAGATATCACGTTAACAAGATGACGTACGTACATACGGACGGACGGACAGATGCTGCTGAATACAGAGTTCCTCGTGCCGCGTTACGGCAGGGGACAACAATGCAGAGTCACTTTTCATATAACCTAATCAATACCTCTTAGGTATCCAGTACACATACATGTAATTGAATGGTTTGGCTAAATACCATGCTACAAGATATCTAATAAATAAACAATTTAGGTCAGCACCCACAGGTGAACCATGCATGGAACATCACTGCTTACAAAAGCTATTGTTGTAACATGGCAAAGACTCACCTGACTCCATGTGGGGCATCAGCAATGACATGAACTTCCAGATTGACCTTATCATCCTTCACAAAACCTTTGTCAGGGTCCAGCAGCTCCTGCAGCCACCAACACCATCATCAGTATGGGCATTATCAACAGAATTCACATTACCACATAACAATGTCAAGATACTCACATTACTACACATGTAAAAAACACTTGTGAGGCGACATGTTATGTTTTTCCTAATTTTCTTTCATGAAATCATAAGGTATAATCATTCTCTTCCCACAGATGTTACTTGTCATATCTTCCTAAGAACCTCTGTTCTAATACGGCCATATTTCCCGGTTCTCGTAAAATCCCCTAGCGGCAAAAGATCGCAACACGAATTATGTCCCTTCTTTCTATCCAATCAGAACACGTGTTACATCGACTTAGATCCAACTTGACTAACACAAGCAAATGTGGGGCCACAAATATCCCCCATCTGCCGGGGAATTGTGTTTATGTTACACACAAGACGTTTAATGGTTAGCTTGTCCGTTGTCAACAAGGGCGATGGAGACGCCACTGATCCGCCATGACATGACTGAGTTCTGTCTAGAAGAAACGTTTGTGCATCGCGCAGGGGAAGAAATTTAGTTTTCTCGAAGCATACGGAAATTACCGAGTCCTTGCTAATGATCACTTTTGAAACAACGTCGCTGATTGCACAACTAAATCTGATTGCCTCCAATCACGAGTCTTGAACGCTCACACCATGAAAGGGCCTAATTCGAACTGAGGTTACGTAGGAAGATATGACAGGAGTAACCTCTGTGGGAAGAGAATGAAGGTATAATATGCAGGGAGAAACTCTCAAAACTATTACAGGTACCCTTTGGACAAGTGGAAATGACTAATCTTTTCCACATTTATACTTCATAATTTTTTTAGAAGTGATGAAGGCATTCAAATTCTTTGCCCTGACTATATAAACAGACTTACCGCCCATGATATAAAATGGCTAAAGCCCCAGTCATTCTCTTTGCAATAGAATAAATGTTGAATTTCTGAAAGATAAATAGCATTGATTATTCACTAAAGCCAAGAATAAAACAGCTGCAGTCTAGTTTCTAGGTCAAAGCTAAATGATAAAACACATAAGAAAACATTACTGATCAATACTATTTTACCATAAAGTATCTTAAAATCACCATGAAGATGTTTTAGCATTAGCTACTAAGTAAAACCAGCTTCAGAGTGTATAGCATCTTAAGTCTTACAAGAAATGCCATGTAAGTCTGGCTCAAGACATAGGCCCAAGACATAGGCATTCAATCAAATTGTATGGATCCAAGCAAGCAGCACCAACACTTATACTTGTCAATACAGAGAAAGATGTTCTGTTCCTCCCTCTGAACACTCAGGACTGACTGACTGAGTTTGGATTTACGCCGCTTTTAGCAATATTCCAGCAACATCACGGCGGGGGACACCAGAAATGGGCTTCACACATTGTACCTATGTGGCGATTCAAACCCCGGGTCTTCGGCGTGACGAGCCAACGCTTTAACCACTAGGCTACCCCACCACCCCTGAACACTCAGGAACACATCTAATCCTTACAAAGGTTTATTCTGAAGTCTTCTGTTGCAATATAATATTCTAGGGCTGTGCATTGGCTAACAAATTGTATTGAAATATATTGCCATTTAGGTACCTGTATTGCAATATATTGGGAGCTATAGCATTTGTCAGCGAGTGACACAGATTGTACATGCATATTTTTTACATACTAAGGCCCCCCAAAATACATATTATAATTCTGATAACAGCAATTATGTTGCCTAGTTAGTGATACTATTTTTCTACAATTTATAGTATGTAGGGTATGCCATTTTGCAAATTAAATTACCAACTATAGCATAATTGTGAATGAAAGTCTGTTTAGAGTTTAACATAAACCACGGAGATACTCACTAAACTTCCTATACGTTTTTACCCAATATACCAAATCTCAGAAAATGTTATTGCAATACATATTGCTTGAAATGTGTATTGCGGTATACCGGAAGTACTGTGTAGTTCTAAAATAGTCCGACAGATCATTCATACCAGGCACCAATTTCGAGTTTATATCTATACCAATCAAGTTGTTTAAATTTGGCTTTGGAGTTCAACATTATAAGTGAGAGTAACTCTGCTAAGTTAATGATGAGAGTGGGTAATACCGGTAACTTTACATTACATCAGCAATGTTGCAACCATTTAGTCACGACAGTGATGAAAGAGGGAGAAGGTGACGTCACTTTTGAAATGAAACTTTGATAGCTAATGGACCCAGTTAAAATAGACCAGAGATATAACACACACCAGACAACCAAGGACGCAAGCAATACTGCGAGTTATAGAACTTACTTCTGGTGAAAGGCTCCCCATCAGGCCTCTGTGAGAGGATCCTCAACTCAGCCATAGCATGACATGACCAGGATCTGAAGGGAAGAAACATGGCTGCAATGGCAATACAACTCACATAGACCATACATTGATAAAAGATCAACCGGAAAGAAGTATGTATTACATGCAATAATGAAGGCAGCCACATGGTTAAAACCATGTACCAAACCAATACTTTTGGCATCAAGCCCTCACTAAACATGTACCATGAACTAACTCAAACTCAGCAAGTTAGGTGACAACCAAATTAGTATTCAAGTCTGGTTAAAATTCAATGCATTACATTAGAAACAGGGCTCTTTGCAGATAACATGTCAATTCTGGTTTGGAAAAGTCCAGTGCCCCGAGCTAACCAAATGAGAGATATTTGCCTTACTACAGGACTCGTCAAACCAAAAAGTCACATGCCCCATTAGCTGCAATAGGCTTTTGCTATATATGCCACAGGGCAATTACTAATTTCTTCACGAGTGTCTGATTAATCAGCTTTGATTGAGGAAATGCATCCCAAAATGGCATCACGTTTTTTTAATTAACTACACAAACACATAATTTAAATCCTGTGATTTAGTTGTAAACATAAACTATCCATGCACTTCAAAATAAATGACCAATGCCAGTGACCTTGACCTTTCATAAAGGTCTCTCAAAACCTTATGACATATGCCAAATTCATCCTACTAAGGTGAACACTTCTTGTACTGGGGTAGAATAGGTCTTCAGCAATCCATGCTTGCCACAAAAGGCGACTATGCTTGTCGTAAGAGGCGACTAACAGGATCGGGTGGTCAGGCTCACTGACTTGGTTCACACATGTCATCGGTTCCCAATCGCGTAGATCGATGCTCATGCTGTTGATCACTAGTTTGTCTGGTCCAGACTCGATTATTTACAGACCGCTGCCATATAGCTGGAATATTGCTGAATGCGGCAAAAACTAAACTCACTCACTCACTTGTGCTGTTGTGAACATGATATATTTATAAAGGTTTGGCATAAGACTGATGTTATCAGTCGCATGTATTGAGGATCATTCCCAAGGAATATCTGATCATATGAACCAAGTATTGTGTCTCCAGGTGGAATTCATGTAACAAAATAATAATAATATCTGATTATCATTAACTGTCATACTAATTGTCAATTTCACTAAACATCTGCAGGAGAGAAATTTAGAGAAAATGGCAAAAATTCTTTACAAGTCACCTTCACTGTGACCATGAACTTCTATGTAGGTCACTCTTAACTACTCAGTATATCAAGGTTCATCAATCTACAGTAAATGATGATTATGCGAGCTATTGCTTCAACATAATTTTCAAAAGGATGGTGATGTTGACATGACAAAATGCTTCTCAGTGCTATAAACTTGATCCACATGATATAGTATCCTTGAAATATCCAAGCTTTCCATGTTTTCATAAATAGACGTCATAAACAGAAGATTACTTACGAAGATTCTGTGTCCCCATTACACTGTAGAAAGAAACCAAGGCTTTTCTGGCGCTCTGCATTTGTGTTATTGCGAGGCATTGCCATTATCTTCCTGTTAAGAATAGAAATAAAAAAGTCATTAAAAGTTTTTTGTTGTTGTTATCATTATTAGATGGGAAATATACATATTTACATATGATATCCAGTTATCAATCACCATACTGCAGGTGCTGGGTCCACAACCCGTGTTATTCCTAATATGGAATGTTGGAGTGGTAATATACCATATTTTTTAAAGCATAATTACTACACTTATGTCCAATTGCTAGTTTGTGCATAGTGCCTGGTCAAAAACTGTGCCACATTGCATCTGGTGAATGAACAAGAGCCAGTAAATTTTGCCCATCACTAAACAGGGTGATTTGCCATTTCAATTGTATTTATGATGCTAAGAATTGTATCATATACAGAGATATTTCACTGTGTGCACTTGTATTGTAAACTAAGCAACAAACACATTTGTTTTATATCAATGATTCAATCAATTTCCATAAGCTAAAAAATATTGGCAGTTCTCAGGGAAGTGACAACCAATTCCAAAACTACTACAGTACTCTGATGAGTACTTTGCATTATGTGGGTTATACACTGTCACAGTGTTTGGTAAAGCTGAACCTATGGAACTGGGTCATCGGATACTGTGTGTGTGTATCAGAGAGGAGCATGCCGTTTTACAAATGATTTTGCCTAAACTAGAATACACAATTACTATTGAATGGAACTGTGACTACAATATATTACAAGTGTGAATTCCAAATATATACAGCAAAGACTTCTCATAGCCATCTGTACTGATTTATGCAAGTCATTATAATCCTTAAAATAGGACTGGTTTGTACAATGCAGAATTGTGCATGTTCTATTTCCGATTATGTAAAGATGCATCTCTTGGTCAAACAATTGCTTTTATGGGCGCCATTGATTACCCGTAGTTGAACAGAATACCCAATTTTATTGTGAGGGACGACAGTATAGAAAAAGTTTCAGGAAAGATATGTAACAACCTTAAAGAAGAAAACAGCCCTACTTTCTAAAATAGAACTGATTACAAATTATTTCATTAGTGAACATAAACAAATCATAGTGTTGATTTAGTTACATACTCAATATAATTGATCAGTTGCTAAAGCGCTTTCCGGCAAGAGGAATAACTATAACGTCATGAAAAACCTATATTTATTGATGATATCTATTCGTCAGACCTTAACAATCAATTAATTGATCATGGTAACTACCTTCTAACAATAAAACAGATTCTTTATACTGCTATGTTCTTTATCATGCCATCCCGCTGATTGAGTATCAACTAATCTGTGGTCAATGTGCCTTGCGGATTTGATTGATCATGGCTTTTCTATGCAAGTTCTCTAATAATATAGAAAAGCAACTCCTTTGTGTGTGCATGCACCTGCATACTATACTTTAAAAGAAATGTAAGTTAATTTAATAATTTAGATATTTTAAGACCAAAATCTACTGAAACATCTGCTGAATGACAAGTTTGGGCTAATACATTAGAAAGAGTTTTTTACAGATTGTACTTACCATGGTAAGTTTCTAACCATGCATGAAGGACTGAGGGCGGTGTCTTTCAGCTTACTGATGTTTTCAACTGTGTATCTGAATGTAGTCTCCGCTCGACTTTCATCTGAAACAAACAGCAACGTTGACTATGTGTGTTTAACCCTTATCCCACCAAGCTTTCTTCATATCCATTACCGCCAAGTGGGACTGTGAGGACCGGTCACCCCCTTTTGAATTATATCTAAGGACCTGACAGGATATTACGTTCTTCTTCACTATTAGAACAGTCACTGCTGTCACCAACACTTTCTTCAAAGGGAGGTTCGAACTCTGAATCTGATCCACTGCCATCATCATCTGCAGCAGCAGAAGAGGTTGATGTGTGTTGACATGAGGCTTGTTGTGACAAGAAATGATTGAAGCCAGTAGACAAATGGTGGGTTATTCTTTATTAGTTGATCGTAAGCTGTATGATCTGTTGATTGTCGGGTTGAGCCGTTTGATGTTGATTGCCTCTAAGAGTTCTCTTATCCCATGGCCTACCTATGGGATCATATCTCTCCCCAATCATCAGCGAGATCTACATGACAGAACTCGAAGACAAGGCCCTTCTCACCTCACCCGTCACACCAATATGCTGTTTCCGGAAAGTTTAGACAACACAGAAAGACCCCACCACCTTGCTTCAACACAAAACCCTCCTGTAAGAACTTAGGGACAAAATGAGATAGGTTCACAAGCACAAGCAGCTCACAGTTCCCCATCCTAGATCACCCTACGCCCGAGCCACCATCAAGGTCCACAAAGACCCCATCAAAGCCCGTGTCCTAGTCTGTTCCAGAAACACGGTCCATTACAATACCACCAAGCATCTCGACCGCCTTCTCGCCCCTCTAGGTAAAATAGCTAAATCTCGGACTCCAACGAATTCTGCAACAAGATCAGCACCATCACCCAGCTAGGCAAAATAATGAGTTATCATGTGGTTGATCTATTCACCAATGTACCAAGAGACGAAGCCCTAGCCATCATTAGAAGAAAAGTTGAAGACATCCGCGCTAAACCTAAACACCCATCTCACAGTAGAAAGCATCATCCGCCTCATCCATTCATGTATAAGTTAGTTCAACATACTTCACCCAGTCTGATAAAATCTACCAATAAACCCATGGTCTACCTATGGGATCACCTCTCTCCTCCATCATCACCGAGATCTACATGACAGAACCCGAAGACAAGACCTTCCTCACCTTACCCGTCACACCAATATGCTGGTTCCGGAAAGAAAACAACACTTTTGTCATAATCAACCCCACCGATGATCCCATCTGCCTTCTCAAACACCTTAATAGCCAACATCCACGCATGAAACTCGACGTCCAAGTAGAAAAAGACAACAACAAACTCCAAACAAGTGGCTACAGGAAACCAACCTGCACAGACCAATATCTTCACTTCTCATCTAATCACCCACTGCAAGTCAAGAGAGGTATAATCGCCACCCTAGCCAGAAGAGCAAAGAACATCAGCTCCACAACCCAAGGCCTTGAAGTCGAGTTAGAACACCTTCGCCATGTCTTCATAAACCTTAATCAGTACCCTGCTAATCTAGTCAACAGAACCATCAAGACCACCCTCAACCCAAAAGACAAACCACCACGTCAACAATCATCCCCGTTAATCACCAGTATACCATATGTCGATACAACCAGCCATCATATCCGCAGATTACTAAAGAGCAAGCCAACATAGATGCTGTGTTCCAGAGAGGAACATCAATTCAGCATATACTACAAGCCAACAGTAAACCAGCTACAAGCAACAAAGAAGACCCTTCAGGCGTTGTCTACTACATTCAATGCAAATGCAGAGACTTGTACATATAAACCCAAATACCCTTCATGTACATAATTCTCATTGTGCATATGTTGTGTATCATTTGCTTGATAATGGTGTAAGGATCTACACAGAAATGTCGCATCCACTGCAGTAAAGAATTTGTCTATTCATAAAAAGTGTTCCTCTTCTCAAACTTGCTCGACGATTCATCTTTGACTGGCAGTTACTATGCAATGTATTCATAAGGAAGCTTTATCAAGTGGCGTTGACTGGAAGCTGAGGGGGGTGAGTGGGCCTTAGAGGCCCGGCAAAGCAGTTAATGCAACAATATTTGCTTTTTGAAATTAATGGTAATTATTTCAAAATAACTAAATTGAAACTTTTTCACAGCAATCAGTATTGTGATTTTGAGGAATACATCGAATACTGAACATTTATATAAAGAAGTGACGTTTTGGCATACCATCAAAGTGCACTTCGGGCCTCAAATGACCCACTTGGTGGGATAAGGGTTAAGCTGTACTCATTCAAGTTGATAAAAATGAATGGTATAAAATATAATTGAATTTAATGTGTTGTGCATAATGGACATTCCATAATGATAATTTCCTATTTCAATCAATAAGCAATCAAAGGCAGGAGCCATCCAATACACATGGAGGAAGCAGTTGGTTCAGGATGATGTTTTACTCCCTTGGTCTGCAAGGTTGTTATTGGCTTGCTCTTTCTCTGGCCATTTTGTTTGCTGATCATACACTTCGTGAATAGGAGAGTCTGCATTTGACTGTCCCAATAAAATATTTGCCATCACTGTCCATCCTTTGCTTCTCTGTACTTCTGATGCCATGATGCTTCTGTACTTACTTGTGGATAGAAGTTCTGCCCATGAGGCAATGCTAAGCTTATTCATCACCAGAGCTTATCAAACAGCCAACTTACATGTCAGATAATGAACAAAACTGATCACTGTATTGTCTGGTCCAGGCTCAATTATTTACAGACCGCCCCCATACAGCTGGAATATTTGCTGAGTGCGGCGTTAAACAAACCAGCCAAAAGCATTGTAATGGAGCTTGTTTTGTCACACTGCTCATCATTTATATCTGTATAAACGCCAGGAAGAGAAGCATGTTAGTGCATGATAAGGTCATAAAACATTGCATGCAGAGATGTTTATGACATACATGATATTATTTGGTATGGGAACTGCTGCATCTGGGCCATAATTATCCGATCTTTATTGAAGGGGCGGTTGGGTAGCCTGGTGGTTAATGTATTCACTCATCATGCTGAACACCCGGGTTCAATTCCCCACATGGATACAATGTGTGAAGCCCTTTTCTAGTGTTCCCTCCATGACATTGCTTGAATATTGCTAGAAGCAGCGTAAATCCATTCTAACTCTTTATTGAAAAGGACAATGCCACTATCTAGAATGAACACTGTTTTTTGACTTACGTGTTTCATTCCATGTCATTTTCAGACTTTCAGATAAGTTCATTTTCTGAGACACTGATAGTCATGAAACAAGGAGGACTCAACACTGAAGACACTTGTGCAATAACGTGAAACACTTGAGAAATAATGTCACCATACTTGAATTACTGGTTACAGTTATGCAGGGTACCAGTGTCCTTGAGCTTTGATACTATGGTGTTTGAATCCAATAAGACCTAAAAAAAAAATGTTGCGGTTCCGATTCCCCGACCGACCCTTGAATTCTGGTGCTGACCCTATCTTTTTTCGGTGGTATGAATAAAATAAGCTTTCAGATACCATTGTTTTTTCCCGTCACCGACAGACATCGGTCATTCTGATAGAAAAAGTCTACCTACCCTGAATTTCAAAGAGGTGTAATCGGAACCACAACATCTTTTTTATTTGGCCTAACCCACGAAGTTTTTAACTGTTAACATTTAGGGTCATACAGACAGCTTGATTTCCAAGATTAATTTACTGGGGCAAAAAATGTGTTACTCTTGCTCAACTTCAGAATGATTTTTTGCTGTAATGATATACACAAAAGTCCTATAAAAATATGAAAATAAAAACGCAGTAACGCCAGCTGTAGCAAAATCACTGATCTTATGAATTAACAATACTATAGATTGATAACAAATGTACAGATAAAGCAGATCCTCTTGTAACAGCACCACATGTCAACCTTAAACCTGTCAGAGCACTCAGTTACCTACAGTTCTATATTAAGGCATATCCCATGTCACAAGTACAAGGTTTCTTGACACACTATTAACATCATTGTCATGAAAGCATTGCAGACAGCACTAATTTCATCAAGATGTTATTCTTGCACTGTGTAGTATGAACTTAAACATTAATAACTATTCATGTTATCCATACTCAATTTTATGCTGAATGAAAAATTTGTCCATATGTTTCAAATCTATCTAAGAGACTGTTTTGTAGCACCTTAGATCACAAGTGGAGATCACAAGACTTTAACTAAGGGCAAGACTAAAAGCTGGCTTTCTAGAGTATGCATACGTGTAAAACCTCTACATGATGCTGAAGCTATGACATCTGTATAACACATTCTCTGAAGATCCAGTAAGCAGAAAAACAGTACAAATACATAAATGGTGAATCTTAGCGAGGATACCCTTACTTTTCATAAAATGATGTCAAATGAATGACTACAAATGTTGACGACGTTTCTCCAACTCCTAAATGCCTATCGAAACTCATTTACAGGTGTAGTTATCAAAATGTTCTGCTCTGAGACTTGAAACCAAATGACAGACAAGCTGCATTATTGCATGTCATTGCATATTTATCAAGAAATTTTGATCAAATATATTCTTCACGTCGTCACACATCCTTTGTCTGCACATTCAATTGCAGATAATGGTAGGATTCAATAACTTGAGGGCACGTTAGTCTGTGTTACTAGAACTTGCGATTGTCAGACACTCACGGAAAACATTAACACACATTAGCAACGCACAACATCTGACAAACTGTCAGGTGGCCGGAAATGTCATTGGGACCACATCATTGCCACTATTATATGAGACATGCATATCAGTAAAAGACAGCATACCAGTCCCTATATGCTGTCGTATTCGTATTGGCAGAATAATCAATACGCTCGCCACAGGCTTTAATCTGCCATACAGCAATTTGTGCCTTATCATGCAAGCAAACAGCAAGATGCACACTAAATCCATATATTTGGGTCCAAGATTCTTTGGAATCCATTATATTCTACAGTATTTGTCAAGTTTACATCACATGATCAAGGATCAATTTGTGACATTTTCCTTGTACTAATTGTCGGAGCAATTCATCTGAAGATAATGCTTATCAGACCTGACAAGGTATACACCATACAACAACTGTCATCATCCATTGTACTTTCAGGCATTCTATCAATCTGCTTTAGACCAAAATCACCCCTCTTCACCCTCACTGATTTTAAATACCTAAACTTTAATGAATCTATAAAACTATACCATACCATATGGAATGGTAAATCATGAAACTTACTTGTAATACTGAAATGTAACAAGTCTTCAACAGGACAGGCCCAGTATTTATCACTAACTATGAGAGTTCCAAATTTTCCCCTCCAATATTATTGAAAACACAGCATTAACAATATTAAACACATTTTATGATTTAATACCCGATAGCATTCAATTAGTACAGTAGATAATGCAAATATCATCTACAAAATCCATCCAGTTGGGACATAAACAATTACTATCACCATGGTCACAGTATATTCTAGCAATCTTACAATAATGTGAGGAGGCATTGTTACAACATTAACATGGTTCTAGCCACGAAGCTATAGGTATGTGACGAAACTTAATTCATGCTATTTGTGGCTGGAGATAGGGACTCTGTTTGTCGTGTAAAGCCATTGCTGTGACAACAGTTGCCGTCTCAAACAGATACACTGATAAAAGCTTGTATTGATTTTTGCATGGCTCTTCTATTGGTTAAATCAGCCTCGTCAAATGATGCCTATCACAACAGATTTCTTAGCCATGGTCTAATTATAGATCTACTCATGTCCTTTACAGTCTTCCATTAAATCTGATACTCCATGTTTGAAGAATAGTGACACAATAACCTTCAAATATTCTTGCCCTGTATGACTATTGTCAGTCAGCAGCAAAATCAAAATGGCCGAATGGATCACCTTGCATTCATTTAGAGACAGAAAGAATGAATTCCATAATCAGCCCTTTTTCATTTTAACTAAGCACATTTGGGTTAGTGTGGTAGAATGCAGTCTAAAAAGCCACAGTCTGTTTCTTTCAGTCTTATGAGTTCTACTAAAAATATTAACACTAATGTGTAATATAAAGACTCAGGCCAAACGACAGATTCGGGAAAGTGGACACTCCATGTTTTTGTCAGAAAGGGAGGAATTAAGATCTGTATTACAGTACACACGGACATTAGATAATGGATCGAAAATGCAGCAATAATGGGTCCCAAATGTATTGACCACATGAACAGGAAACTGACGTGACGTCAAACTGGAGATATGTATCATCATACAAAAAGTCGTGACATCATGCTGGAGATTACTGCACTAAACCTGGTATGGACATCAGAGATGTAAATAATCAGTTAGTGCAATGTCATTATTAATACTCCCTATACATTGATGAAGGTTGCTGATCCGGTGATACAAAAACAGTCAGAATAAATGTATGACAGGCTAGATTAGAAATAGCTTAGTACATCAAGCGTAAATTAGTGCAATTACCAGTATTGTATTGTCTGCAGATAGTTTGTAGGTTAATGTGTGGTTAAGCTGAGGCAAAAAATAAGAATAGGGCCTTCATATACGATTCTTTGCCTTATTTTTAATGTTTTAGCGCCTAAACTGTATTGACTTACATACAGAATAATAGTAACACACTGATGAGGCTCATGACAAATTCATCTGTTCCTTCAGGGCAGTTTGTCCTGTTATATTTTCTTGCAATTAAATTATACTTGAATATAAATATCCCTCTCAATTTATGAGTACAACTTTTGAGGAAAGTTGCTGTTTCATTTTCAGTTTCGTCACTTCAGGTAAAGAAAAGGAGATATATATGGCAGCGAAAATGTCAGTTTTGTGGTAAAAGCCCACTCAACAGGATGATATACTATTTCAGTTATACTTCCTTTTTTGACTTCTGATGTTACATACTGTCAAAATAATCAGCAGACAAGTAATAACAAAACTGTCGATTTTTTAAAAGAAACATGCAATATCCACAGTAAAGCATGATAAAAGTAACTTGTCATGACAGGATCAACATACACAAGAAATATTCCTACCTTCTTCCATCTCTTCTTCTTGGTTCGTGGCCCCCATTTCCTGCACGTCACCATTGACCACCCCACCATTGCTGTCTGTCCCACCATGCTGACTGTCGTCTGTAAACAAGAAAGCAAATCATAAACCAGAAAAATAGTGTTACAACAATTACTTACACAGGCTGGGTTTGAAATACCCCATACATTAGTGTGCCATGGCACGGTAAATATTGAAATGACACGGTTAAAAGATGTTCTCTGTGACTTTTTGACACGCCTAATTTTCTGGAGACATAGCTCACATTTAGTCATTTAATCCCCCAAACAATTAACTGAATAATGCCATACATATTTGAATGCTCATAAACCCATTTCTTTATTTAACACTAAATTTCAAATGATTATCATCATTGTCATTTATTCTAAAAACACGTGGGCATACTTGATTTCTGAAAGGCACACCTAAAATATTTGTCTGGTGCCCTAAGGCACACTTAGATAAAAAAGTATTTCTATCCCTGACAAGGTTAACTCTAACCTACTGGTACTTTGCTATTTGATAGGGGCGGTGGGGTGACATAGTGGATAAAGTGTTTGCTTGTCACAACCCTGGTTCGAATCCCTACATCGGTACAATGTGTGAAGCCCATTTCTGGTGTCCCCCGACATGATATTGTTGGAATATTGCTTAAAAACAGCATAAAACCAGACTCACTCAATTACTGCTATTTGATAGCACACTGTAAATAATCAATGTGGAACAGGCAATCCAGTGATTCAAGTCAATAAGGTAAGATAACAAACTATCAATTAAGCCATCAAGCCTGACCATATCATCCATTTGATTGCCTCTCATGAAATAATAATAAAGATAAATCAGAAAAATAAATTTTATCTAACTATTCAGTGTATGAAATAAGCCAAAAATCCAGCCAGACATCTAATTTTTTTACCAGACCATTGGGCTGGCTAGCTGTAAATTGAGACCATCCGTCGGAAATCTTGACCGTCTCGGGCGGTTGGACGGGCCTTATTTCATACACTGCTATTCACCACATGCTTAAAAGTTCAGGATCCAGTTGTATCATTGCTTCATTAACTAATGTCAACATTAAACCCTAATGATACATTAAATCCTTAATGCATCATTAGTTAATGGCAACGTTAAAAAACGGTTGTATCAAACACTTATTAGCGTATCATTATCTAACAACGTCCTAATGTAAAGATTTTCATTAAATTTGGGGATTCCCGTAAATATTTCCCACAATTCCGTGACGTAAGCACGTAAGCGTTACTCTCGGTTGTCCGTCAAATGGCATCTTTGCGGCTAAACCTCGGAACAAAAACAAACATTTTGACTGCTGTGAAGTAACACATCTAAATAATTCTGAAACATTGCCGATAAACCTAGAATCGGTTGGGATGTTTTGGAAAATACACGAACACAAACGCCGAAGTGAGCTTTACGCCATATTGGATAGTGTTTACAAAATCAAGTTTCGCTAAGGCCGGTCATATGACGCCTATTACATCACATATATTTCATATTCAGTTGTGACAAATGCATTGCTGAATTCCACATACATTTTAGAATCAAATTACAAATGGACTTTGTCACTAAAACCAAGTGTCTAGAAATAAACGAGAGAGTGAGTGAGTGAGTTTGGTTTTACGCCGCTTTTAGTTTTAGCAATATTCAAGCAATATCACGGCTGGGGACACCAGAAATGGGCTTCACACATTGTACCCATGCGGGGAATCGAACCTGGGTCTTTGGCGTGATGAGCAGACGCTTTAACCACTAGGCTACCCCACCGCCCCTAGAAATAAACAAAACATAGTGGGTGTGAAAACGGAGCGTTGTGCTCTGAACACAGTGCTTGCTTAGAAATGTAAACAAAGTGAAAATCAGACTTTATACTGGGCAGCATTTTCTCAAGTTTTTGGACATCAGTTTGTCTATTCGTGGCATGCATGAGCTCAATACTTTTAGAGTATGCATGGAAAGAGTATCGTAGCAAGAACTAGAAAATTAAAAACAGATACAATACAGAAATTTGATACTTTCATTCGAAAGTTCTGTGCAGCGTGACACCATGCCAGGCGCAAAATCATGGAGAATGACATAGGCAATTATCGGCATTTCTGACATTTTCAATGAAAACAATAAAACAAATAACCATACGCAGATAGTCAGAATGTTTCCGATTACTTACATCATACATTTATGGAAAAAGGTTCGCTCGCAAAATCGTTGGCACCCATATCAACAAAGCCACCATTTCATGAGAAATCGGTCATTGGTAGTGATGTCATATGTCAACATATGTTTACTTTGCGTATCGTTCACATATGGTTTCATGAAACTAATTTCATTGTCAACATTTAGTATTTTAAACCTAAGTAAAACTGACATAATAAATAAAAATTATTTATTTCATGAAATGTATATATGCACACGTCTTTAAAGGATTTATATGTCATGTTCATTGAATTTGTTGATGTTGTGTTATAGACAAAACAATGGTGTATAATCATTGGCCAGATGCGCGTTTGTCACAAATGTTTTGAGTATCATTGTTTTCGATAATTCCTTGAACAAAACATCACGAAAATATAGTGTCCTTATTCACAGCAAATTCTCTCCAAGTGGTCTGAGTTACAATGACTTCAACACATATTGCGAGTCATTTTTAAGAATGAGTGTATAATGTTATACATAAGCACACAAACTAATTTAATACATACCTATGTTGTTCAGTTATCAGGCAGAATTTTGTTCGCTCACACTTTCCGTAAAGATTCCAAATTGAAAATACAGCAGCACAGCACTTTTATCAGTGCACGATAAAAAGCAGAGACATTTACTGTTTTTTAACGCATACCAAAATTAGGGGAAACATTTAGCAGTGTCTACGTTTCAAACTGGGTTCAAACCACGAGATAGGACATTTAATACTCTACATTTCTGTGTAATTTTATAGCTGTAGGTAGATCCAATGCTGCGCAAACGAAATTCTGGCGCATGTTCACTTTTCCAGGAAGTTTTAATGACGCTCTAATGATACCCCAGAACCTTCTTTAAGTTAATGACGCGCTAATGACAAAACAACGTCATTAAAACGTTAGTACATCGGAATTTAATGACACATTACTTAATGAACATTTAATGTCACGTTAATACTTCATTAAAGTTTGATACAACCCGGTCCAGGATTTTTAGCATTACATCCCTACGTCCAATGCACTTTTGCATGTATTCAGAGAAATTATGTACTACATATAATATAGTGTAAAATTATTTTATCATGAACGAAGTAGCAGGATATAACAACCTGTAACACTATTACAGATATAACAAGGCATATAGAGCCTAATGATTCTGGCATGTCAAAGGCAGGCAGCTCCAAGTTTCACATAAATTCTGAACATCAAATATATAGTAAAACTGAGGAAGGCATTTGATGATTGTAGTTCATCTGCATTGAGAGTTACAGAGAAATGACTTAGAACAGTGATGATCTGTTAGATTTGAAGTAGTGTCATTTAGGTTAAAATAGAAAAATTGTGAAAAGCTAGTTCAACTTCAGCTAGTTTTGATAAATGTAGCTTATTTACATTGACAGTTGTTACTAGTGTTGGTCCATTGTGACTTTCTAAAGAGAACGAGCAAGTTTAAGTTATGTTTTTACGTCATTGGTTACAAGTTTGTCAGAGACTTCATTCACATAACATGCAGCAATCTGCATAAATGGTGAATTATTAAATGTGAGGACTGTTTAAGTTGTGACACTTCCGTGAATATTTACTGAAGTGGAAACTGAAGAAAGTATATTTGTCAAATACAAACAGGACAGATGATCAAAACAGTGAACTTAACATATTTACGCTTGTAATTTTCTCATACAGAACACCATATGACTTGACTTGGTGAGTGTGGTTGATAGGTACTTGCCAGTTGTCATTTCTCTAGTAATCTGTATCTATTAATGAAATTACTTAGATTAACTGGTAACAGGTATTTGGTAACTGGTGAGATATGGTATCAACTTGCTAACCATGTAAAGGCTGAATAGTATGAACAAAATGTCTTAAATGTAGTATCTCGATACTTATCGTATCGTGACCTCTGTAATCTATCGTGAGGCAGCTGTGTAGTGACGTCCCCAATGTCCATGTATTGAAGCATTGGTAGGCAAGTTGGCTTTAGCTGAACACTACCAGAAATAAGCCTGATCATGTTGGTACCATTAAAAGGCACTTAGCATGGTTAACTTGTAGTTGTACATGAACCTAAGACAACAACCCAACATTACACTTTTGTCTGTGTTAGCTGAATCAGTGGTGTTAAGCATTTTTTATATGTATGTAAAATCTCTAGTTTTACAGGTTCAACTTAAGTCATGCGAAATTTCAGAATTTATCATAATATGAATAATACATAATGTGGTTTTTCAGACATCTTAGGGACATTGAAATATGTACATTGATCCATGAACACTGTCCAGTTGTTCTCTTGCTACTTTTCTTCCATAATTCAAGAATTTTTATGTGTTATTTTAGTTTGAGTATCAAACTCCCCATTGCAATTATATATTTTTTAAAATACATAAGTAAACCAACTAACAATTTGTCTGAATACATCACCTCATTGACGCACCAGTCAGTCAGGTGGCATATTGTCAGGGCTAAAGGCAGTGTTTCGCCGAGACATTGGACAAATGGATATCCTATCCCTTACAGCATTAAAATATGGGGTCAGTTTTAAAACTTAAAGGGAGATATTTGTCTAGGGTATTGCTGCAGATTTGCCAGCTGCATAGTATTTAGTATGGCTATTCTGCCAGATGTAATTAAACAAACTGCATCAACATCCTATTTCATATACAAAATGGTGTAGGAAGTACTGTCAAGTCTTGTTTGTGACTGTTGTTGGTATGTCTCTAAAGGTAATCATTCTAAGATTAGTATTGGCTCTGTCACTGAATTCATATGATGTAATTATGAAGCCGGGTTTGTTGAAGTTGAAAATGTCACTGTATTGAACTTCAGTGTCACTGTCAGGACACTATGTGTAACATTTTGTCCATCACTAATATTACTTGTGGTCAGCAATT